CTGCAACAGAAAACAGTCTATCTGAAATTAACAAAAGAATGGAAAAGGCATGGAGCAATTTTGGCAGACAAAATATGCTCCCTTTGGTGAAAGCGCCCTTGTGATAGAAATGGAAAGTTTTCGATCAGTGTGCGTTCCCTTTGCTAGCCTATAGGAGAGAAACGTTAACTCTAAGCCTTAAAGATATTCATAGCGAGCAGAACATGCAACACAGTCGGGAAAGATGGTATTTTGTAGTAAGAAAAAAGACAGAAAGTTGTACGGCAGGATAACAGTATAAACAGGAGTCTACGATGTCATTGCATGAGTGCTAAGGTAAAGCAGCAGTAGATAGGACACGTTGCCAGAAGTACTAACCACCAATGGAACAGAGAGGTAATAGATTTGGTTTCAGTAAAGAGTCAACGCCCCGTGGGAAGACCCCAAGGTCGATAGCATAATCATGTTAAGAAATTTGTTAAATCAACGTAGACAGGAATCACAGAAAGTGAAAGTTTATTGCAAAGTCTTGGAGGGGCCATTATCCAGCAGAGAATCGATAAGGACTGATGATTATGATATTTATATTTTTATATTTATCCGTATGTGTCAGGAGCTCTAAATATGTGGCTGGACCAAATCCTAAAGGCTCATGCGAACAGTCACGGGCTGAGCATTAAGGCACTCTGAAGCTCAATTTAGACTATAATCATGGATGTAACACTGGGAGTGTTAATAGTTTGATAGTATAATTATGCAACAACGTAATAATTAGTGAGATGGTCACTACTGTATAACTCATGAAATTCACAGTTTTAAGAAAAATAGGAAATGATGAGTTTGAAAATAGATTTAAGTATCGTTTAGATTGCATAGGTTTCTTAGAAGCGGAAAGCTAACGAATTCTTTCTAAACGATCTCCTTTTAATAGATAAATGTAAGGCACGGCTAGAGGCCTAAAATTTATTCCATATTTCTAACCGTGTCTTATATTGATCTATTAACCTAAGAGCCTAAACGTCTTTTCGAAGTGGATCCGCATTATTTATAACGCATCATGAGCGTTATTTTTTTCACTTTCTGCCCTGAATTTATACTTGTTCTTATATTGTTGATTTCGCATGTGAACCATTTCCATATGGAAACAATACCGAGATATTTCTTTATTTGGACGTTCCTCACGGACGGTTTTTTTATCAACTAGTTTCAGTCAATTAGTCATTATAAATTCCTTCGTCTGAATAACAAGTTTACACTCCACCAATGTAACCGGCAATAAACAGGAAATAAATATAGTGTTTACGTAACACTCTATGGTTTAACGTAAATCTGCGCAATTGACAACAGCTATCCTGACGTATACTGTCGATTGTACACTTCAGATTACCTTCGAAGTGCCGTCGCATAATGGTATTGGGCAGACTGTGATTAAACCCTAAATATTTGTCATTGGACTTAGTCTCAGCATTGCCTTTCCTCCAGGACCGGACTAAAATGACATTGGAAATGCGTTGGGTCTTTTGTATTTCTCTGACAGTTTCATATTTCGACCTGGAAACGAAGCCACCTCTTCGTTTGATTGGCCGTTCATCTCGTTTAATGTATCACGTGATCAATCGTTTCACTTTGCGTTAAACGATTTTCGGTCAAGGCTGAACGAGCCACAGTAACGCTGGCTTTGCTAAGGAGCGTTTCAGCTATCTGGTGCATGATTATTAATCACTCCTTCAAGTAAGGTAATCTCAAATAAATCTCTTGCAATTTCTTTTCGTCACTTCCCAGGATCAGAAAATCAGCAACAAACAGCGACAGTAGTGTGGCTTGCTGTTGCTCGTTGGACTGACTCAAATATAGTGTGTAGGAGGATAAATGATCAAAAACATTCCTCATTCTCTCATTGAGCTAAAATACCTACCATAGCTGAAGCTATTATTCCAAGTATTTTTGCTTTGCTCAGCGGATGTTTCTTAAAGGGATGACTGAATCTGTCCTCTCAAATAGCATCATCTCGGGTAAACTGAAGAGTTTCTAAGAATGGCCTTAAATATCTTTCAAAAGACTAAAACTTCTTTGTGTTCAGTTGTCGAACGACTATTCAACGTTTGAAGCTTTTCGTTTGTTCTCTTTATTAGCTGATGCCTAATCAACAGTCAAATGAGTCTATTGCTAGAAATAAGGCTGTGTCGCTCCCTCGCGTCGTTGATGGGCTGTCTCGTATGGTTGACCCGTTGCAATGTTCACCTTTTCATTATTGCATGCACCATGCTTTTACAAACCTGTGTTCGAAAAAGCCTTATCCGGGGCTCGACATATAATAATACAAGTCGTTTTGACATTTATCATCAGTATAATTTTTTGAGACGGTGGAGCAGGGACATTTTAACTGCCGCACTTTCTTAATATTACTTCTTTGGTGGCATACCATTGCTTTTAGGATGCAATCTGAATTCATCATCAGTTTTGTTTGTGTAGGGTTCAGATGAAGACCCACTTTCGCTATAGCTGCCCACACCACTTCAGTTAGTAGGTATAGCCGTCGTCACTGCCGCCACAGTGAATTATTATGCTGATTAATAAAGAGTGGTAGTTAGTTTTTGATCTGTGGGGAAAAAACTGGCAAAAACAGGTTCTTTCACTAGATTGAATTTGTCGAGAATATAAAATGCATGACGAAATTTCTAGTGTTGTTTAACCTCAGAATAGCGAGGTACTTTTATGAATCGTCAGAGGTAGTTATCTATGAAGCGAAATGAGGACTTGGCTCAAAGCCTCAATAAATTGGAAACCTCTGCAACGACGTTATGCCTGTGATGTAAATAATAATGCTTCCAAACTTTCGGCAAAGGGTGTAAAAAAATGACAGTAAACGTTGCACCTACTCTAAACGACGAGTGTCAAACAGATACCCACGTCACTCGTCTTATTGCTTAAAAGGTTTTACCTCACTGGCAATAGCGGCACTACCCATGGCGGGCAAAGAGTCAAATGCCAAATTAGAAAAAACTATAATGGCGCCGATTCGTCGGAATGTGCTGTTCCAGTTGAACGGTAATTGGTGCATTGTCATCAGCGTCGCGATCGCGGTAGATCACTTTGACGGTAGAGATTTTGCTGTGGTTTTTACCGGCATGCGTGACACAGCGTTGTCGTTAGCATCGGAATCGGTCCTTGTGAGAGTTAGGTAAGAGTAATTGGTTCCGAAACGGCATTTTTGATGAATAATGAAAGCGATCGGTTTGATGGGAGCCAAATTTTAAAGTGACAAGTAAATAATTAACGAGCGAAACCATTCCGATGAAATTATGAATCGCTTGAATAAGCACAAGTTTTTTCCAAAGGCTAGAAGCTTTTAAGGGACGCTTTGATTTAGTCGCCCGATAGGCGACTCAGAAAAGAATATAGCAGCGTTCTTTAAGTAAGGAATGATGGAGAATACGCGATTAAAATGTTGCTTCATAATGCTAATTATGAATTCTAATAATTACTGATTGTGAATGTATTATTCATAATACATCTGTCTAATTTAAGAGTTTGCGGAGCGACGGCTGTGCCAACATGATTCCCGTCGGTATCTACAGGAGGGAGGAAGAAGATCTGAGGTTTAAGGCCAAACGAAAAGAGTAGTGTTTCAAATGAGAGGAAAGTCATCGTTTGGAATACCGCTTCATACACTATTCTTCTTTCCCTTCTTACCCCATTTCATCAAAGACGATGCCGGATGCAGTAAAAGCAATCCACGTCGATAAAATGAAAGATGAATGCATGTTCACTTTTCAGTACATTCGATATTATCGCAGTTCTAGCTAAATCTTGCCAACTTGTTCAAGGTCATTGTGGCTGCTGTCGTCGTAGGACTTTACCTTTTCTATCCGCTTCGCAAGGCGACCATTGTCCGTCGATGGTATTGACCCCATTACCTTCAACACATTGTATGCAGCCAGTGTATCACTTTGGCTGGATATACCTTTTTCTCTCTTATGGCAACATTCGACAACAGACCATACCCTTCATTCCGTTGACATACGTCTTTCACTGTTTCCTTTGCTTAACTGCTGCTGTCTCTAAGCCATATATCAAGATGTCCAAAAGCAGGCATCCCAGAGTTTGCCCAGCTTGTTGCATTCTGCTGATGCCATGATCATTTACATAAATTATGAACTGAAATTTCCAAAAAATCAATTTCAAATTCCATTCTACATGCTGCTGAGGTTGTTCGAATCACCACTGTGAATTCTTCGATGCTTAAAATCCTACGTTTACCGCTTAAATCATCGACATATGTATGGAAGTGGTGCTGTATTGCCTATTCTTGTTTCGCAATTTCCAAATGCCAAGAACAAAGCCTTGGACTCAGGAAAAGCTTTTATTGACAGGTTCCATTAACAATCGGTGGACAACTGCGAAGAAACTGATTTACGTCGTCCATTCATCATGGTCATTGATGAGTAAGTAATGTCCAACAAATCGAAGCGGGATGCATCATCAAATCACTTGAGCTATTGAAATAACAAGAGCCTTTAAATGTTCTCTTATCGCCTAAGATATACGCTGAAACACTGTCTTACAGATAAACATCAACATTTCATAGAGGGCAGGGGGCATGTGAGGGATATAAGGCAATATGATCTCGTGAAACAGACATATGGATTTATTGAGAAAATTCTGTTACGGAATTTAGTCAGAATTAATTTCGTCAGAATCGGTTTGTTTGACCTGAACGATCCATAGATACAGTGATGGCGGCCATGTACAGCTATTTTGTAAACGAGATTATATATGTTCAGCCAAATCGATTCTAAATCATCTGGTTGTGTCATTCTCTGGCGACTAGTGCTCCAAAAGCTGATGTTATGTCCAGGAAGCACATTTTCCATCAGATTTGTTTCAGACCAAGCTCAATTTCGCATCTAATCATCAAAGGAACTGAAGACCATCAGCAAACCTTTCAGGCTTTACACCGGCGACGGGAAACTTGCCTCCGGTTTTCAATTTTTGGTGTATACGTTTATGTGATAAGTGATAAGCGAGTTTCACCGCGCTCGCTACGGTCGACTACAAAATTCATGAAGAAAATACTCCATCTTACATTCTTTTCTGTTTTCTGTTCAATATTGCTTCTTCAAGCCATCGTTTCATGGTTCATTCCAAGTTTTGGCAATTGTTTGCCAGCTTGGAAGAGTCAACTTGAACATACCTTTCTAACTCTGTGATTATGATCCTTTATTCAGATCAATGATTATTGTCTACAACGCTGATTCTAAAGTTAGCTTTCTTGGTAGCTCACCCTGCAATTAAAATGATACTGTTTTATTGCATAGCATACGGTATTTAACAAGGTTATGCAACATGTCAGGATATTTGAGTTGGATATCATTCCCTGAATTAATATTCTTGATATTAATCTTCGTCCATTGAACTTCTGCAGCAGGCATTCAGAAGTTATGCGCATTTTCACTGATCTGGTCTTCATAACTGCAGGACCGTTTCCGGCTGGGCTTCGTCTTTTACTGGTAGAGTAGCTGAGTACAACGGCTCGATCCATTCCTAATCTGGTTCAACAATGATATTTCGCTGTAAGCCAGGTCTATCGTTCAGAGTTCCTTTCTGGATCGGGTACAAAACGTCTGTTGTAGACAGATATGCTCTTACAGTCTGCAGCTTACTGATTGCTAGGATCTTCTCATGCTAATTTACGGAACGAAAGTCTCAGAAGCCCTCACAAAAATCTTCCCACTTGAGTTGATTAATTTCATTTTGGTGTTTTCCAAGTAGAATGTAAATTCTCTTCTGCACTGACAACATGAATGTAGCGCGTTGCTTGGCAGTTTTTGGTATGGCAATATATTCAATTTACTTTTCATATCCTGTAAGCATTTACACGTTATTTCGTGCAATTTCCTAAATACATAATTACATATACTATACAAGCACACTAACAGAATTATGCTATATTACTACAGGTCAGTCAAACAGGACCCTTTGCAGTTTATTGAAAATTACTTTCACTTTCAATTTAAACAGTTCATTTTCAATGCATTACAATATGCTGAATGAGCCCTCTCGATTTACACAGCTACTTGCACGGTTGTCACCTTACATTGTGGGAAATTCAAATTTATTGAACACTGTAAAATTTCAAATTTACACCGTAAAAGATTGTCAGGGTTTACCGTTTGGTTCTGGACAACAAGTACGAAAAGTTTGTCTACGAAATAAAACGTTTATTGCGAGGCACAGAATCTGTTTCTGCCTTGTCTTAATAAACAAGTTGTAATTTTGGCTGTTTTTCCAAAGAGCTTTGAACCCCTAGCCGCATTGTTCACGATCAACAGCTGCGTCGTAAAATACCACATAAAATGTGCATGTAAAGTATGCATTTGATGCGTATGTGCGTATGTATGTTTATACATCCTCCTTTCTCACGATCGTGCGTTAGGTGCCTCAGGTTTATGAATTTTATTTGTCTGTTTATGAGGACTTTCAAATATCTTCTTGTGGCATCGACGATAACCATGAAACTCATGTTAGTTTCCTGAGTCATATTTCATTGGCCGAAATTTCGATGGAATTTATTCTACATTTTTCCTATCAGGTCGGCATTCACAGTTTCAGCTGGAGTTTTGACCAGCAGCGTGTCTTGCTATGAGGGTAAGAAGAGAGTTGCAAACACGCTTGTTTCAGGCAAGACGTTTTCAGACCATACTACGGAGCGTCGTTAATATTTTACCAATCAGCCGGCTTTGAATAATGAGTTTCAACGCCGCTGTCAGCCTCGTGCCAATTAAAGGTTTTTTGAAGTGGGCGTCCTAATTTTTTTATATAAACTACTGTAAAATTTGATTTTTTGGCTAAAAAACAAATTACAGATCCTTCTTTGTAATTAATGGGAATTACCATGCTAAGTCTCATTGCTCAGTTTTTCTCTCTCATGTGATTTGCTTCCAGAAGGTTCTATATCCACCTATTAGCTCATCGTATCACATGAGGTAAGGTCTTCGAGTTGAGCGCTTGCAGCCCCTTTTGTGCGAATGCATCACTATCATAATACGCCAGTCATCCGTCAGTTTTGGGACGCAATTCAACACCGTATGACTCGAGCTGCACGCAGGCAACTGGAGTAGTTTTGTTTCTACTTCGCATCTCACCTGATGCTGATAAATAGTTACCTTTCGTCTGAACCGGGAATTAGTAATCAACTGGCCAAACTTACTGGTACTATTCATAAGTAGCTACAAATTAATCAACTGCCTGGATTATGAGTGATGATGCGAGCAGTCGAATGGGGGAATCAAAATTCAGGCATAATTGTTTCAGCAAAGACAGATTTTTCCAGATGTGTGCCGTGTATGTATCTTTGTTTACTTGTGCATGTGCTGTTATATATATATCACAACGCTTGCTCATTCTCTAGTACTATATGTATACACTTGCTCTAATCTTCTCCGGTTCATACATAATCTTTCTCACAGCGAACAGCAAGTCCACAGTAAAGCCACATCTACAGAATTTATAGATGGTTCATGTTTCTTATTGTTCTACATACCCTTAGGACTACAGTGATTCACGACTCATTATGTGCATAAAATTTGCAGTCGATGTCATGGTTGTTCGACATATGTATTTCTGGTTCAAAAGACTTGCAAGAGCAACTTTCAGATTGACTCTAGTGATATAGTAAAAGTCTTCGTATGGTGTAATTCTTTGCAAATTCAGCATGTTTCATAATTAATGAACAAAATTGTGTGAAATGTCTTCACAATAAGAAAAACAAAACCTTTGATTTTACTATTCCTTGCTTCCACGAATTCTCATTTATACAATTCTATACGTGTTTCCCAGAAGTTAACTAGACATCTTGGCCTGGGAATTTTTAAGGTCTGCTTTGCTTATCAACAAAAAATGCGTTCTCAACATCAAAAAGCCTCCCATTACGTGAGGAGGCAGAGTTGTTGAAATGTTCCGCAAGTGTATGTTTGGGTATTCATAGCAACATGCATACTTTTTTTACATACCGTTGTTTTCCCGGACTGAATGTTTTTGAAGCCATCCATCAAAGTAACAGTTAAATTCGGACGCATGCAATGCGCTATGCATGTAGTAATATTTTTAATAACACATTCCACACATTTTCCGCCCACTGCATGTCACGAATCCCTAGTATCAGGTCCAGATGTGTTGCCGTCACTTAATTTTATTGAGGATTGGGCGCAGAATGTGCGCGTCACCGTATTTCGCCCTGCAGTTCCATACTTTGCTCAGTCGTTGTTCACAGAGTAAATTACGCAAGATTTTGCTTTGCTTAAAGGTTGCCACTTCGTTGCACCCTGAAAGTAGTATAACAGTTGTATTTCAGCGATTTAAAATCATTTCTTACACTGATCATCTGTTTGTTTGTTTTAGCGGTGTCGAGTGACGGCCACGCTGTGATGGAAAACTCTTTGGTTGTGAGCATGGAAATAAACGGCACAATGTACCAAGGAGTTCTTTTCGCTCAACCTTCGATCCGACTTCCCACGGTTGGCGGTCACTGACGGATCGCCGGACGCTGCGTCGTTCATGATGATATTGGACAGTGCAATTTTGCGTTAAATTCGCTTAACTCGTGCCTGAATGTGAATTAGAAGATTCTGTATGATTTCGTATATTCTGGTGCTTAAATATTCAGTTGATTTGCGGGATTAATGACCGAACCCGGATTTACCTAGTGAATCACATGGATTACCCCTGACCGTTGACCATCCTGCCAAAAACTGAGTATGTGAATGACTAACGGTTCGAAGTGGCGCCGGCGACCAGAGTCCAGTGGACAGCAAGCCATCCGGCCTCCCAGTTGACCAATGGATCAATTGCCGACCTGCCGACCTAGTGGCCAGACGACCTGTTCATTTCAGTCCAGTAGTTTGGCGTCCGTACGTTTCGTTCGTGAGAATATTGTTTCGTTATGTATTGATGCTATCAATGTTTCACGGAGGTCGTTCGATCGATTTCGATTCATCTCTTCCATGTTTCATTTTGATCTTTTGATAAGTTGCTGCTTCGTTGTAAACATTGTATTTCTTTGGAATTCAAAAATCTTGCAGTCGTATACACAACTGACTGGTGACCAGACCGTACGATGCTGAATGCAATGCGTAAACGCCTCATCATGTTTCCACTTCTGTCAGTAAAATCACGGCTCGTTTGGTTTATGCCAAGCTGATGTTTACGTTTTGTCGAGTCGGAACTGAACGTCAATCGTGATGTTAAGTACTACAGTATTCTTACGCAAATCCAATGGTATCAATCTTCCGGCAGGCTTTTTGAAATGAAATCATCATATTTGTTATTCTAATCAGCCAATGAATCGGAAGCACGAAGCTTCGATCACATCTAGTAGATACTCAGGATCTAACCATGAGTCTATCCCTAAGCCATATACTGTACGTTTCATCATGCATCTTTACATGATGTGCATGTACTTCATCGAAGCTTGTGTGCTTTCAATTGAATCTTTACTCAAAAAGAGCTTCGCTTTGACAGATTAACCACTGACTCATGGACGATCTGTCAGGCCTCAGTAACAATTGCTTCATCAGTAGCAAACCTTCTTCAAGTACAAGGCTGTACCTCATGATAATAGTAGAAAATGTGAAGACTAGATTCCGCCGAAACGTAAAGGCAACATATTACCAATATAGAATAAAATTGGTAGAACCTCACATTCCGTTATTTGGCTATGAGGTTAAATTTATTGAACTAGCTTTTACTTTCAAGTGTTAGAATATTATCTTCAACTGGATAAGGCTCCACCGTTGACTGTACCCATGGCTTTGACGCATTTGGCCGATTTATACCGCATTGCAGTAGCAAGTGAATTATGTCTATTTGAGATAAGAGTCATGCCAGAAATGAATTACAGTTTCGAAGTCGTGTACCAACTTGCATGATCATTGAAACATATCGGATTCGAGCACAGAATGCTGCGTGGCTAATTATGACTGCTAATTCCTTGAGCAAGAGATTCATTCATGTGGGATTTGCTAGAACCAATCAAGCGGCGATTTGCAGATCAGTAACTCACGTAGAGTTTCACATATCTAATGAGGTAGTGAGTTTTGTCAGGTGTTGAGAAACATTTGTCCGGTGCCATTGTTACCTAAGCCTGTGGAGTACCTGACTTGAGCAGCACACTGTATAAATCAACCGGTAAATTTAAACTTAATCTTTCATGTGGGTGCGTCGATGCGCGATGAACGCAAGTCGACCCTCATTCAGTTTTTCCCTGTTATTTGCCCTGTACTGTATCTCCATTGCTTGCCAGGTAAGTGGCTCCCAGCGGGTTATTGAACTACAGGCGTTTCACATGTCGACGCAGTGACCACGTGTATTTTAACGGTTTTCCAAGGCGCTGTTTTCGCGAGTGGTTTATTCAACAATCCATTCGGTGTGTATACCCTTGTGAACCATTGCTGACGTCATTCCAATCTTCATCCACCCCATCAGATTCAGAGAATTGGAACATTTGTGAGGTCTTAATCTCGATTAAGTGTCTTCGGCGAATGGCGGATAACACCACCATCTTTTTAAGCGATCTTTTGTGCTACGTCAGGACCCTCATGTCAGCATATTGCGACTCTGAAATTAACAGGGAAAAGTTTGTTAAGCACTGTTGCTGGAAAGCACAAGCTGTCAGATTACATTTAAACATAGAGGACAAAGAAACAAATTTTGCCTTCAAGTTTGTGAAAATATTACTGTTTCACAGTGTCAAATGTCACAAAAAGACGAGCACATGAACTTTATCTTTCGACCCTTTTAAGGCATTGAATATCAAAGAGACACAAGATTTTATTTTCTTTCCATATACTGCCATGATCTGCAAACTGCCGTAGCGTGTTTTCCGATAGTCTTTAAACTGTCAGTCGACTATCAGAAGATAGGGGCCTCCCGTTTTCCTATCCAGATTTGTAATCAGTGTAGAACATATCTCTCTCTTAAAGAGAAATAATGAGATTAACTAAGAGTCAATGAGTTTTATCTAACTCGTTTACAAGAAACTCGTTAGCTGACATTTTTTTGAGTGCACGACAAGTTTTGACGGCTGCCGCAGAGGCTAATTACACTCCGCCACACATCATGCAGTGCCGTGCATCATCAACTTTGGCTTTTGACTGTTATGTGTGGATGGAAACGCAGAGGTTGGATTGCGGAGCCTTTCACGTTCGAAATAACTCACTACCTAAGGATTGGAACAAGGCAACGTCACTGATCGAACACCAATAATTGTCCACACATTCAGAGCAGTCCTAACGTAGGTTGTAAATGCAGCGGAAAACCTTAAATACATGGGCTGCGGATGAAAAGCGTGGGGTCATTGCCACAGAAAAATTTGAAAAAACATCATTCAGCCACTGATGTGGCCGCAGGGCTTGAGGGACCATGAAAAGCTTCGGCTAAAGAGATAATGGTAGAAAGCGAACTTTTAGTTAATTCTCAGGCAAACCTCCTTTGGAATTGAATATTCGGAAAAACAAACCTGGAGGAAAGAAGGAAACAAAACCACCGCGCGAAATTGTTCTCGGGTAATTCAGGAAAAGGGAAGCAATGCCCTTCGCCAGGTTGGCGAGTGTACACATAGAGGAGGATTTTTTATGGCGCATAGCTACTCCGAGACAAAATTTCACGGCCGCTTGCTCGTAGTCGCCCAGGAATCATTTAAACAGGGCAAGGCTGCGTGGTATATTAGCCCCTGCAGCGCTAGAAGCATCTCGCGTCATTTTCTCCCCTGCAGCAACTTCAAGCTCACCATGAACGATGCTTCAAGAGCTAATACTTTTCACGGTACTACAAAACAATTTATTCGACGCCGACGTACGTTAAATAACTCATAACTAGTCTAAAAAAAGACTCACAGCACAGTGTACCTCTTCCTTATTCCTAGATGCTGAGGAGGGTCATTTAAGAAAGTCACAGATTCATGGCATTTTAGCACTTGCTGTGTCGTATGCATCTTACATCATTTTATGATGTCTCTGCGGCAATGTATAAGGCTTACTGGCTCTTGAAACATCGTTTGCAATAAAC